AAGACGCTATGTTTGGCGGACATCAAACACTGCACATCACCACAAACACACCATCCCCACTGTGAATCATGGTGGTGGCAGGATCGTGATGTGGGGATGCTTCTCAGTAGCAGGCCATGGACCAAGGCTTGTAAAGGAAGAAGGTAAAATGAATGCAGCAAAATATAGGGAAATCCTGGAGGACAATTCGATTCCATCTGTAAGAGAACTACAGCTTGGGAGAAGATTTATTTTCCAGCAAGACAATGATCCAAAACATACAGCTAAAGCTACACAGAAATGGTTTGAAGACAACAAGGTGGATGTTCTGGAGTGGCTGAGTCAAAGCCCAGACCTCAATCCGATAGAGAATTTGTGGCTGGACTTGAAAAGGGCTGTTCACACCCGATCCCCACGCAACCTGACAGAGCTTGAAGAGTTTTGCAAGGAAGAATGGAGTAAAATTGCAGTGTCCAGATGTGCAAGCCGGACTGAGACCTATCCACACAGACTCCGTGCTGTGATTGCAGACAAAGGTGCATCTACTAAATACTGACTTGAATGGGGTGAATATTTATGCAATTACTTATTTTATGTTACAGATTTTTATCTAATTGTCATTATTTTGTAGAAATCAGTTTTCACTTTGACATTAAAGGGGTTTTTTGGAATTTTTTTTTGTCAAAAAAGACAAATTACGTTGCTCATGATTGATTTATAAAAGGGTAAAACATCCAAGGGGGTGAATACTTTTTATAGGCACTGTATGTAAGAAAAGGTGATCAGTCAGTGTCATGAAGGCAAGAAATATTACCAAGGCATTCAACACTAAAATCCTTCACAATTCCTTCACTCTGTACCTGAGCATCAAGCACAGTTCAAAGAATCATTAACACCTTCAATATAGCTCAGGAAAAATGAAACAGTGCTGTAATGGCATTGGGCTAATACTCTGTTAGTCAGCCATAATATGAAATGGAAATAAAACTAAATTTGAGTGAGACTCGTCTCTTTCATCCTGATGGTGTGTTGACATTTATCATATACTTTTTTGTTGATGGTAGAACTTTCCACATGATATTAATGAAGAACGCAGTTGGTTTACAAGGGGAATCCTGTCTTCTAGTCATGTGTACATCTTTCAGTTTCCCTCAAATTATTTATGAGTCACCCATAATATCTTGGTTGGAGATCAACCAAGATGTCTCCTGACAGGTCAAAATCTAATTAATGTCATAACATAATTTTTGAAGGGTATTTTCATTTGTTCAGGCAGGGTTAACATAAAATATCACAATTATTAGCTAGCTTTCTTAGTATACCGCTGCTTTTACTCCGCAAGCTCCGTCCGAAACATTCTGGCTGATGAGGAGACATTAAAACCCACATTTAGTGATTCAGTCGTAAGTGATTAAATTATATGGAAATTATGTGTTAAGCAAAGCTTGACCAGAGAAGTGTGAAGGTGAAAAGCTTTATGATTTTATAATACAGTACAAAAAAATCTACAAAGTTTCTAGTTTTTAACTTATATTTACATTTTAAAAAATAAATTCATTGTATGTTAGAATCTCTGGCAATGTGTTTTTTAACTAAAGTAATACTTAATTGTACAAATATCATTTATACAAGAAGCAAATGCTGTTTTCACACACTGTTGTCCATTACTAGGGTAATAATTAATTATAAATTATTCTGCTTAATAATAATAATAATAATAATAATAATAATGTTATAATAATCATATATAATAATCATCACAAATTCACCCAGAGATATATTTAGTTATTTTATTATACTGGAAGCTTACAAAGAGTGAGAGTTTCATATCTCTCTTTCAGAGAGTTCTCATATCTCTGTATCAAAGATAATTATTTTATTCTGTCAGTACCTTGAAATATGCACAGGAAAACAAGGAATTCCAATAGAACATTCACATATGTAACAGAATAAACATGACATTGGATTGATATTGAAATTAAAGATAGCTACAAGAAAGCTACATGAAAGCTACATGAAAGCTACATGAAAGGTAATAGATACAATGATGCCTGCAGCAGCTACCTACCATCCATCCATCTTCCATAACGGCATGTGCAATGCAGGGCCATGGCCAGCTTGGGATTTATACTGGGAAACTCAGGACATGAGGCAGGGGGTGCCCTGGATGGGATGCCTAACCATTATAGTACACACACACAGACGACTGCCCATCATGGAAATGTTTGGAGACACTAATTCTCCTAAACTGTGTGTTTTTGGACTGTGGAAGTAAGCTCAAAGAACGGGTAAACTCCATGGGAACGGGGCTTGGAATTAAACCTTAACTATCTGACTACCACTAATACTAATAGGCAGAAAATTACAATAAAGCTAATTTGTTTCGCTATTTAGCTATATCAAATATGTGCCAAGTTAATGATGATTTTTAAAATATTGTTTTCTGTTAAAACCCTCTACTGCAAAATCCAATTTATTAACTGTCATTCTTTGAGTAAGTGTTATATTTATAAACTTGTTTACTGATTAAAAAATGTATATTTCCACTACATTACATCATACATTCCAATTCTTTATAAATTTATGTTAAAAAATCCTAATCAGATAATTTATAATCTTAACAAAAAGTTCCCCTGGAATTTTCTTCTCAAATTACGGTGAGTAATCCTTTGCTAGTCTAAATCTGAGTAACCATGAAATGAATAAACAAGGAATCTTCTTCTACATGAGCAGTTGAAAAGCCCATTTAACAGCACAACACCTTCCCTCCAAAGAATAACACTGAAGCTTAATGACTTGAGGTCACACTGCCATACAAAGGCAAAACACTGTAACTGCATACTATGAGTCACGATCTCTTAGGCTATGTTTTATACCGTGACAAAATATCTAGCTTGTTTTTGAAGAAAACACTAAGATAACCTATCTGCTTCACATATGGGTGATGTCACGTCCGGCTCGTACGATCCTCGTGTGTGCCACGCCCCCCTCATTGCCTCGTGTTAATTCCCGATTGTCATCACCTGTTTCCTGTTCCTCTTGGCTTGTCCTGTGTATTTAGTCCGCGTCTGAGTTAGTCTTGCCAGATTAGTCATTGTATTGTTTAATATTCGTCGCCTGTCTGCCCCGATTAAACCCCGTATTTCTGAAGTTACGGCTCTCTCGCCTACTTCCTCGTTCGCCCGTCCGCCGAACGTAACAGGTGACAGTCAGAAAACATATACGCCATTTTTTCAGTTCCGTTGTCAGTGTAGATACTGTGTTTTTCTTTTTTAAATCTGTATCCAATGATGACACAGGCTCCCAGTTCATATGTGATATGCGATCATATGGTGAAGAAACTGTGACCCTGAAAGCGACAAGTAGTTACAGAAAATGGATGGATGGATAGTTTTTCATAGTCTTCTAAGTTCTGTGACATTTTACAACTGGAGTTATCATTTAGGACAGGGGTGGCCAATCTTATCCGCAAAGGGCCGGTGTGTATGCAGGTTTTTGGGATAACATGTAGGTCAGCTGTTCAAACCCAGGTGTGAGGACTCTTCAGCCAATCAGTCCTCTAATTAGTAATTAGGGAGTTGCCGCGAAAACTCGCATACACACCGGCCCTTTGTGGATAAGATTGGCCACCCCTGATTTAGGAGGTCCTCCTGGCCACTAGATGGTAGTACACCAATGTCTTTTTTATCTTTTCCTAGGCCACTCCTGTTTGAGCACCATTTTATGCTTCCCCGGCCTATTGCATCAGGCAGCCTTTTGAGCATGTCCTCCTGGACCCCGAACCTTGCTTTCCATAGCATTCCTTCTGCCTGCCCCCCATGTTTACTGCTCTTCAGTCCATCTCCATGTTTTTCCTCAAGGTGACTGTTTGATCACTTGCAGCTCAAGTCCTGCTAGTAGCGGGAAACTCAGGGTCTAACCGACTTTGTACCTCAACTGCTATGAGCAGAATATCAGGCCCCTGGGGGCTGGGAAGTGCCCCTGGGGGGCCGAATTCTTACTGCTACATCTAGCAGTTTAGAATCTGTCAGAGTTAAAGTGGGGCTGAATATTCAATCCAATGTTATTTTTAGTTTTGCTCAGGATAGGTTTTTATTTTTCAGCAACTCTATTCAGTCACAGAAAATATCATGTCCAAATAAACTCTTTCACAATCACACACAGACCTGCACTACAGTACCACAGTATGTAGTATTTACTGCACCTCCTGGTAGATTCAGAGTAACCATTTATAACGGCAACAAACCAGGAATCACAGCCATTCACAGACAAGCATATTGGGCTAAATGTTACCATATAATTAGTGACAGATGTGTAGTAGAGTTTATTCAAGTTTACCAAAGATGCATAGCTCCTCTACTTAAATTTATGTAACTCATTATACGAATACTGCTCCCACTAATATTTGAGCTAAACAAATGTTACACAATAAATTGGCTGTATGCAATAGTGATATAAGTGGAATCATGCAGTGTCAGGAATCATGCAGTGACTTCACACTGTGCCCATAATCCATAACCAGATACCATTAAACAATGACACTGGCTATTGTAGTTATCCAGCTTAATAAGCATCCAATATTGCTACAGTTTTTTGTTTTTGCTCCTGATTGGAAAAAAATGCAGTGGGACGATTCAATTTGTTTTCCCTTTCTGAGACGCGAAAAGACTAACAAGAATGACAAAAATAATTCCACTGCTGACTGACACATGCCTGTGGCACATGGCATTATGCTTTAAACCTCCCTACAGGATTGAAATGGTCCATCAGCCGTTTTCATATGTAATGCCGTTTCATTTGCGTCTCCTGCTTTTCACACATTATTTTACTCTGCAGTTGGACTGTTTCCGAAAGCAGTCAAATTCTTTCTATTAATCTGAACATCACTGATCTTTAATAAGTCATTCTCGCTTTGTTTAATCCTTCCTTTTTGCGTCCTCTCACTGTAATACTTGATTTTTGGTCCAGCGATGAGATTTTGAGGCTCTGTTATCCTGAGCATTACCATGTTTCACTCTTACCTAGCCAGTGTTCTCCCGTGATCTTCCCAAAGCCTTCGCGGTAGGCATCCCATCCCCGAAAGAAGTCCACTGATCCATCTTCCCTGCGCTGAATAACCTGATAACAAACAGAAAGGAAAATAATGTCATTTCAAGACTGAGCGCATATATCTGATATGAATCTTGATACTCCCCCCACCCCCACCCTCACCCCCTCCTGGGAAGGTCTTTGAAATATGAAGAATGACACAGGGGCTTTTAAAATTAGCTCATACAAACTTTGATACTACAGGAAAATATTTCTTCTTTAAATGAATTGCACGAATTATTGATGTCTCCAGAGAGTCATTTGTTGTTATTTTCTTTGTTATTAAGCCCTTTGCAAATGAAAAAATACAAACCAGCTAATCACAACTGAGGAACCTGATTGCCCAAGTACCGGTAATTGTAATGTCCTGTATTTATTTATGCATGTTTGCACTTGCACAATTTTTAATACTCTTTTGCTATATTTATACAAATATGAGGGTGGAGGTTTCGCATTTAGCAATGACAGAATAGCAAACATCAATGTCTTTTCCTTTATGATGTTCTGGCCATGTAGGGGTTTGTGGGAAGAGAATTCCAGATGCTAACTGAGTCTCAGTTTCATCACAGGAGATTAATCAGTGTGCCGTCGGCCAATGGCTGCTGAAAATACTGCAAAATATAGAAGGTGCCGTCCATTTAAATTAGCTGTGTGAATTACCCAGTCCCATCGCTTGGTATTCTGTGAGACTAACAAAGTTGTCCTGATAGAAAGTTAAAGTTACTCAAAAATTACAAACAGGCTGACCCAGGATTATTCTGCAAATGGACTGAAACAAAATGAACCAGAACTATTAAAAGTAAAACTGGATGGATCACTGTAGAGGCAGACAAACCTCATTTATTCCATATCTTACCTTACAAACCTGTAGTCATAAAAATCCCCTCCTCCCTCAATAAAACAAGCCAGAATTCATTTAGATTAATTACTCTCACTACCTATCCCTCCCAAATGCTCAGCACAAGCAGGCCGCTTTTCGCTTTTGTTTTTATCCTGACCGTTACTGCTTGGTGCCCGTGTTAGATGGCAGTAACAGTGCGTGCTTGCTGTATTAACACAGTCATTGAAAAAAGAAACACGTTCTTGTTTTCCGTGATTCTTTCACTGACCAGGCTCCAGTGCTTAAAACACCTTAAATTCAAGCGGGGGCACAGAAACAGGTCCACAGGACAAAAAAATTTTCAAATTCAAAAATTATATGCCGATGTGCCATGCGTAATAGAGCCCTTGTAAGAACTGATAACCCTCAACTGCATAACGTTGGGTACACAAGCATAAATAATTCAAACAAAAAATACTGTTAAAAGTTCTGAGATATACATTTCACAATAATATTTATTGGATGCCAAATGAAGCAAGCTGGAATATTTTTCCATTTGTAGTGAGTTTCTTACTTCTAAACTTGTATTCTTTTAGAATAATGTGGCTTTTCCTGACACTACTAGGTCAAATTACCACATCACATTCTTATTTCAGTGTTTGGTCTTCAAAGTCATCATGGTATATAAAAGCCTAAAGGACTGGAATAATTTTTTCCATGGGTAAATAATAGATGACATACATAATTGTTCTTTCGTGTCTTAAAATACATTAAATTGTCACGGACCCGGGGAATGATGCAGGCAGGAAAAGAAGGTGACAAACCACTTAAGGCCAAGACAACAGGGTTAGAAAGTAAAACACGCACTGGGGAAAATCACAAAATAACCAGCCACGAGGAGTCAAAAACAAACTGGGGAAAATAAGATTAAGCTAAAGAAACCACTAATTAACACAACAAAGTAATTGGACTAGATAAGGAGCAGGACTGGAAAACCAAGCAGAGAACATGAACACAGAAGCACACAGAGTAACTTCTCACAATGGCAGACTCAGGAGCAAAGCAAAGGCAAGCACTTACATACACAGGAACACCGGGGCAAACAAGGAACGGGTGCCACTAATAAATCATTAACCAATCAAAAAGGACTTGGGACAACAAGGAACCGGTGGGGCAGATGCACTTAAACGAGCATGAAACTAAGGAACCTTAAACCTTAGGAGGCATAACTGGGAAGGCTGAACACGCTAGACAAAAATGAAAATCACACAGGACACAAACAGGGCAAACCACAGAGAAGCAAAATAACTACAAACACTAGGGGGAAAAAATCAACAAACAAAACAGGTGAGAATGGCTTTGAACCCATGCCTGTAGGATGATAGCCTCTGTGCCACACACTCAACCCCCTGAGCCATGTGGCAGTCCAAGGAGTAGGGGAACACATAGGGGTTAGATAGGGAGTGAAAAGATGGAATGGCCAGTGACACCTGCTGGCCAAACAGGGTAGAGACAGGAAGGGTAGGGTCAGACAGGCGCTGACCCTGACATTAAATGATGGTTACTGTATATTCAGTAATGTAATACGTGTGTTTTGAATAAACTATGGCTATATTACCAAAACTACTGTTAAACACTCTTGGGTAAATATTGTTTTCACAATTCTGTGAATAAAAAAATAAATCACAAATAGTGGGTATTATATTGTTTCCTTGTTATACCCAGATAATTGCCACTTCAAGTACTGGTATGGTCATTTTAAATAATACACTTTCTTATTTAGTATTGGGACACCTGGCCATTACATCCACAGGAACTTTTATGACGTCCCATTAATTGGGAATTTTTGCCCATTCATCCAGAAGAGCATTTCTGAGGCCAGGCACTAGTGTGGGATGTGAAGGCCTGGCTTGCAATCTCTGTTGTAGCTCATCCCAAAGATGTTTGATGGGGTTGAGACCAGGGCGCTGTGCAGGCCAGTCAAGTTCTTCCACAACAAACCATGTCTTTATGCACCTTGCTTTGTGCACTGGAGCACAGTCATGCTAGAACAGAAAAGGGCCTTCCCCAAACTGTTCCCACAAAGTTGGAAGCATAATATTGTCTAAATGTCTTGGTATGCTGAAACATTAAAAATTCCCTTCACTAAAACTACGAGGCCTAGCCCAACCCCTGAAAAACAACCCCATACCATTATCCCTCCTCCACCGAACTTTATACAGTATCTGGCACAATGCAAGCAGGGAGGTAACATTCTCCCGGCATCTGCCAAATCCAGACTCATCCATCAGACTACCAGACAGAGAAGCATGATTCATCACTCCACAGAACGTGTTTTCACTGCTCCAGAGTCCAGTGGCGATGTGCTTTACACCACTGCATCTGACACTTGGCATTGCTCTTGGTGATGTGAGGCTTGAGGCTGTTTGGCCATGAAGCTCCCAGTGTACAGTTTCTATGCTGGGGTTAATGCCAGAGGAAGCTAGCCTGGAACTCTGTAGTTATTGAGTCAGCAGAGATTTGGTGACTTTTACACAGTTTGCGCCTCTCCATTTGGCATCTCTGTTACTTTTTGCAATACAGCTTTTTACAGTATGGATTATCTAGCAAGGAAGATATTTCATGAACTGACTTATTGCAAATAAGAACATAAGAACATAAGAAATTTACAAACAAGAGGAGGCCATTCGGCCCATCAAGCTCGTTTGGGGAGAACTTAGCTAATAGCTCAGAGTTGTTAAAATCTTATCTAGCTCTGATTTAAAGGAACCCATGGTTTTAGCTTCCACTACACTAGCAGGAAGACTATTCCATACTCTAACTACACGCTGTTTAAAGAAGTGCTTCCTCAAATTTGTTTTAAAATGTTCTCCCGCTAATTTCCACTTATGGCCACGAGTTCTAGTATTTAGACTCATATTGAAATAGTCATTTGGCTGAACAGCATCCAGACCCGTTAGAATCTTATAGACCTGAATCATATCCCCCCTTAGATATGGCATCTATGACTACCATGTTTGAATGTACTGAGCTCTTCAGAACGACCCATTCTTTCACAAATGTTTGTAAACCGTGACTGCATGGCTATGTGCTTGATTTTATACACCTGTGGCAATGGGTCAGAATGAAACACCTGAATTAAGTGATTGAGAGGTGTGTCCCAATACTTTTGTCCATATAGTGTATATCCATCTGTGTGAATGAGTAAGTCATTTTGGATTTAAGACAATATTATGTGACCTTCTGAAATGTGGCATAATCTGAGAGCACCTAGTGTAAGTATAACCAAAATAATCTAAATATAAGTAAGATAACAATTCACAATTTCTGAAGCACTGGAAACAACACTAGCAAACTTAAGAGGGAGTTTATTCAAATTATGTAATGCTTAAGGTTAGCATTGTGGCGATTTGAACTTAATCAAGAATTAAATAACCCTCGTGGTTATCCACTAGTGTTTTAAACTGTTATAAGGTTTCCAGGATTTACTGTATATTTATGGATCTGTTATGCAGGCTGATGCATTCTGTACACACTAGTCTCACATTACTTGCTTAAGAATTTCCCAAGATATTATAATATCCTTTTATTCATACCACACTTTTGAGGACTATGGCTATTTTAGGACCACAACTTGAACTACAGTACCACAACCACAGCCCTTCAATGAGCTGCCGAATCATCGATCACACAAACTTTTAACAGAATAACACGCACCGAGGGAGAATGCTAGGAGAGCACAGTGCAGCTTGAAGGAACATCGATCAATCTTCTCAACTTTAATTGCCTATTGACCCTTGCAGCCAAAGTCTTTGGCTCACTGAGTCATTAAATATTTCTCTATGAAAAAAATTAGAATTTATTCCTTGAGTCAGCTTCAGCGGTGTGGTTCCTATTCAGGGGTTGCTGGTGTTGTATTGCAGACAATAAAGACGGAGGTAAATGGGCATATGTTTGCTCAGATGGAGAAGCTGACACCAAACTTGCCAGAAACCGCCCCCCCCCCCCCGACTCTGACAGAAATCATAAAGCTTGGAGCAGAACAGCAAGGGGTGCATGAGGCCTGACAGCAGAACACCAGAGGTCTCTGTCAATCAGTGGCATTGACCAGCTCCTTCCCCAGCCCCCTTCACTCTTGCTTGGCTTGTCTAGTCCCAGAGGGGTCAGTTATTGCCGATGGACATAAAACTGAAAGATTTTTAAAGGGGCG